AAAAAAAGAAGAAGGAAATCAGACAGTGCATTTTTGATCTGTATGGGAGACAGATGATAGCAGCCAGACATTGCACAGCACAAAAGAATGGAACAACATAGTGATAAGCAATCCACTACTTAAAAGAATTGAAGCTTTCATGGTGACTGACCTCAATAAACTCTTCTTAAGCAACAAGCTGCATCAGTTGTCAGAAGCCCAATATTTCAGAGACCATCTCTGCCTCCATCATCAGGGGAAAGATGTGCAGGAAGACTGCTGATGATGTTTATATACATGGTCAAAGTTTCCTCCCATACAGCCATTGGCCAATGGGGAATAGCAGCAGATCTGAGTCAAAATAATTCACTAGGAGTTGTTGCACCTGTCCTTCAGGCCCAAGATGCTCAATAAGTGTTACCTGAAAACAAAATTGGCCAATCATTCGTCCATGGTCTTCTGTTGATGTAATGATACATCTACAGAAGACTGACATACTGGTAAGTTGATGCGATATCCCTGTTCATCAAAGTTCTCCTGGAACAGCACTTTAATAGCAGGATGATGGAATTGTTCCAGCAAATGCTCACTCACTTTGACATATTTTCTCTTCAAAGGGAAATTCTATGAACAGACAATTGGCATGGCCATAGGCTCACCACTTGCCCCAGTAGTAGGTAACTTATATTCACTATTTCAGAGAAACAGCAAACCAACCCAATGGTTTAGATATGTTGATTACACTATTATGATATGGCCGTACGGAGAAGATGAACTCCAGAAGTTTCTGCTTTATCCAGCAGAACCTACTAACATGGACCTCTAACTTCATGTGATTTCAGAACATCAAGTGGTACTAAAAAGGGTCATCCTTTCTACATATATTATCAGGCCATGACAATTTACAATTCAGGCAGTTTAGAGGGAGAAATGGATCATTTGAAGAAATCTTTTTGAAAGAAGAGCTATAGAATAATGGAGATAAAACAGTCCCTTCTTATGCAAAGAATAAGCACGACTCTAGAGACTGAATCAACAAAGCATGGCCATAATACCTTATATGCGGACTATCCCTGGGAAGACCAGCAGACTGCTAGCAAAATATAAATATTAAGACAATACACCAGCCAGTAAGGGAAAGCAACTGTTAAGGTTGATGAAAACAATTAAGAGTGTAATGTGCTAGGCATTTATCGCATCCTGTGTAAGAGTGGCAAGATGTATGTATGACATGAACATCACATACGACAAAACCAAATGGAAAAATCTACTTCTGCAGAACACTGCACAGAACTCAGCCACAAAACTGACTATGATGAGGCCGCCAATCTTGTCAGGAGTGCAAATACTATTGCATCCCAACAAATTTAACTCCCAGGCACGGCATGCCCTCATCAGCATATTGAAAAGGTTAAGCGATACTCAGATGAATGGGTCCACAGACGACAATGAACAAAAACTGATGAGATGCCACGTAAAGTGACAGTGTTCAGACAGAGGCTGGAAGGGGGCAGAGGACAGGCATTCCATGAAGGGCGAGTTTTTTCAGACAACACTGATTGGGCCACCTGGGCCCAAAGTTCAAGTGTTACAACTCCTAGTGAATGGATTACAGTCAGGTTCAGCTCCTATTCCCCCATTGAAAAATGTCTCTACAGGAGGAAACTTTGATCAAGTAAAAATGAACATCATCAGTGGTCAACCTCACATCATTCTCCTGATGATGTAAACAGCTGGTCTTCAAAACAATGGACTTTTATCCACAACTGTTTAAGTTCGTTGTCGGAGAAGATTTTATTGGATCCATTATCTTACTGGGCATGTCCCATATATCACCATGTTCACTAGCAGCGGACACTTTAAATTTTCTCCATAAA